TGTCCCCCCCACCTGAGTTTTTTCCAAAACCATTTCCCCCCCAGAAAAATTGGAAAAAAATGAATTATGGAACATTGTATTTTACAATGATAAATACCATGTTTGTGACAAAGTCTTCATATATTTAATCTTCCAATATTATTTCTAAAAACTATACAACATGAAGCCCTTTATGTAAGATACTCTGTAAAGTATCAAATCATTGCAATTCCTGTATACTGAGGATAAGCAAATGCTGGAATACAATTCAAATACCGAGAAAATACAGAGGATACAATTCAGTTTTTATTGGAGGATGGGGGTTTGCCTGCTTTCATAAACTGATAAAAGAGGTTCCTTATAGTTCAGGTGTTCTTTATATTTCTGGACCTCATCGTTCCATTTGTAACAAAAAAAAATTTTTTTAAGCAAATTTAATTTGTTTTTATTTTCTCAATAAGCTGTACTTTTGATATATGAAACATGATACGTTTATGCCAAGTCAATTTATGCACACTGCATTTTATGTTCCAAAAATAAAGTGATTTTCAATCGGTAAAGGTTACTAATATTGCATTTCTTCAATTTTTCAGAAAATTTCCTTTTTTTTCCAGGAGGGAATGTTTTTTTCCTCATGGCTTCAAAATTTCTGGAAATTTTACATCTCTAAATAAGTCTATCAATGGCTACTAGCCATGGTGACTGAGGAGAACCTCCACATTCAGAGGCACTAAGCTTCTGAATCCCAGAGCCAGGAGGCAACATCAGGGGAAGGGCTCAACCTCTTTGCCTTGTTGTTGGCCCTCCAGAGGAATTGGATGGCCACTAGATCAAAGATGGGTAGCCATGTTAGTACAGTAGAAAAGAGCAAGAGTCCAGTAGCACCTTAAAGACTAAGGTGAGTTACTACAGGATGCTGGACTAGATGGACCACTGGTCTGATCCAGCAAGGATCTTCTTATGTTCTTAGGAAAGCCTCAGCCTCCATGCCCTGTTGTCGTCCGTCCAGAGGAACTGGTTGGCCCCTGTGTGAGACAGGATGCTGGACTAGATGGACCACTGGTCTGATCCAGCAGGGCTCTTCTTCTGTTCTTAGGAAGGCCTCAACCCCTCTGCCATGTTGTTGGCCTTCCATGAGGACTGACTGGCCGCAGTGTGAGACAGGATGCTGGACTAGATGGACCACTGGGTCTGATCCAGCAGAACACTTCTTATGTTCTCATGTTTACAGGCATTCTGTTACTAATGATTGCATGTTGAAAGGTCACAGCTGGGGCAGGTAGTGTCAGCAGGAGACACCACTTATAGGTGGACACAGGGACTGAGGGAAAGCAAATTCTTTGTTTCAGAGAACAGTCATGTTGGTCTGCAGTAGAACACCTGGATTAGTCCGGTAGCACATTAGAGACAAACAAGATTTTGGGGGTATAAGCTTTCAAGAGAATGTTTAGTGAGGGCGTTCCGCCTTCAGAGTGGTATATAAGGACTCAGGGATCTCCATCCCTACTTGTATCTGATGAAGAGAGCTATAACTCTTGACAGCTCGTACCCTGAAAATCTTGTTGGTATGGTCTTGAAGGTGCTGCGTGACTCGAATCCAGCGAATACTTACACTCATTGTTACGAAGCCCTGTGCCCTGCCTAGACGTCTTCTGCACCTCAACCACACCACCAGTCGAGAACCACTATGTTCAAGCATCAACACAACAACCTACTGCTGGCATCTTGCATGTGATTTCACTCCTTATCGGAGCGCAGCAGGATAATAGCACAATAGCAACAAAACAGTCTTTCAGCGGGCATTCAACAACACAGCCAGAAAACAGATATAAAAGCAGGGAGTCCACAAATCTTATAGTCTATTATGCTCAGTAGGGAAAAAAAAAACTTGCAAAGCCTTCAGCGTTCTCAGAAGCACATCGGCTCCGGTGCGACCATCTTGAAAACCAATGCCAGCATCTTCGTGCCATACAAAGACATGTTATTTTATTCCCGCCCACATTTTCATCTGAATTTGAGCATAATACGGTTTACCAATTTGACGTCGATACTTGTCGCTTTGGCATCCAGGGAGTTTTCCACCAACTCTTTAACCACGCTGACGACCGATGTGATCACCTGTGAGCTGGAAAGGATTCGGACTGTGTCTGCTGGCAACTGCTTCATTTTGAGGGCCTGGAATAAATAGGGGGGGAAATAAATTAAATTTAAAATTTTGGAAAAGCACGACAGGTTTCTAAATCCTCAGCTAATGCCTTATAGCCTCCACAGAGGTGAACGTGGTCAGATACAACACAGGCTATGGCAAATAAAATGCAAGTCTGTGGTCAGGCAGGCAAAAAGGGAATATGAGGAGCATATAGCAAAAAACGTAAAAACCAACAATAAAACTTTCTTCAAATACATTAGGAGCAGGAAACCAGCCAGGGAGGCAGTGGGGCCCTTGGGTGACCAAGGGGTAAAAGGAGTACTGAAGGATGATAGCGAAATGGCTGAGAAGCTAAATGCATTTTTTGCCTCTGTCTTCACTGTGGAAGATGAGAAGTGCTTGCCCACTCCAGAACCGCTGAGTTCGGGAGGGGTGTTGAAAGACCTGAGTCAGATTGAGGTGACGAGAGAGGAGGTCCTAAAACTGATAGACAACTCAAAAACTGATAAATCACCAGGCCCAGATGGCATACATCCGAGAGTTCTGAAAGAACTCAAATGTGAACTTGTGGATCTCCTGACAAAAATATGTAATCTTTCCTTAAAATCTGCCTCCATTCCTGAGGACTGGAAGGTAGCAAATGTCACTCCCATCTTTAAAAAGGGTTCCAGAGGAGATCTGGGAAATTACAGGCCAGTCAGTCTGACGTCGATACCGGGTAAATTGGTGGAAACCATTATTAAGGAAAGAATTAGTAGGCACATAGATGAACAAAACCTATTGAGGCAGACTCAGCATGGGTTCTGTAAGGGAAGATCTTGTCTCACTAACCTGTTAGTGTTCTTTGAGGGGGTGAACAAACATGTGGACAAGGGGGATCCAATAGATATTGTTTACCTTGACTTCCAGAAAGCTTTTGATAAAGTTCCTCATCAAAGGCTCCTAAGTAAGCTCAAAAATCATGGGATAGAAGGACAAGTCCTTTTATGGATCAAAAACTGGCTAATTAATAGAAAACAGAGAGTGAGTATAAATGGGCAATTTTCTCAGTATTTACTTCAATACTGATACCATACTTTTCTCCCCAATGGACAACAAAGCGCCTGACAACATTGATCTCCCCTCTCCGCTTCGTCCTCACAACAACCCCCCCGTGAGGTAGGTTAGGCTGAGGCAGCGTGATGGACACACGTCACCAAAGGAGCTTCCATTGCAGAGTGGGGATTCGAACCTAGGCCTTATATTTAACCAGATCAGCTGTACTTCACAACAGGTCTATTTGATAAAGGAATGCTTTAGGCCATTTTGAACAAAGGGCAGCCTTCAGAAACATTATTTCAAGTTGGGGGGTAGTAAGAAGGAAGCAAGACAACCCCTCCCCGCAATTAAATAGATACAACATTGGTGGTGGAAAGCTCCGTCAAGTCACAGCTGGCTTACACCCACCGCTGGTGGTGTTTTCAAAGCAAGAGACTTTCAGAGGCGGTTTGCCATTGCCTGCCTCCGGGGTCACAACCTTGGTATTCCTTGGTGGCCTCCCATCCAAATACGAGCCAGGGCCGACCCTGCTTAGCTTCTGAGATTGGGCTAACATGGACTATCCAGGTCACAGCAGATACAACATTACATTGGACCTCCTGAGGGCACCTGGGTTTTGGCCACTGTGTGACACAGAGTGTTAGACTGGATGGGCCATTGGCCTGATCCAGCATGGCTTATGTTTTTATGTCTGGGGCGGGGATGCTCTGTATTCTTGGTGCTTTGGGGGGGGGGGCAGTGGGGGGGCTTCTGGAGATCTGGCCCCACTGGTGGACCTCCTGCTGGCCCCTGGGTTTTGGCCACTGCGTGACACAGTGTTGGACTGGATGGGTCATTGGCCTGATCCATGGCTTCTTTTATGTTCTTATTGCAAAACCCCCAAAAACGGAGTATATTTTAAGAACATAATATGTCTAGTTATCTTACTTCGGTTTAAAGGTTCTATAACGGAACTTAACTTATAAGCAAGTCCGAGCTTAGATCCAGGTTGAACTACGCTATTAGCAAAACTGATTATTCACTGTTTTCAGTGATGCTTTGGCCTGCTGGGATTTTCATGCTTTTCCACTGTTCCTAAAGCGTTTGATTTGTTGCGTTCACTGCTGCTGAGCTGAATTTTTTTCTTATTCTGAGGCTGCTCCTACCTGTATTAACTGAGAGCTGCTAGAAAAGAGCAGTTGTTGGTTACTTAAATTACTGATCACCAATATAATCTGGAAGGCCAGATAATGAAATTGAAGCTCAAATACTTTGGCCACCAAATGAGAAGGGAGCACTCACTGAAGAAGACCCTGATGCTGGGAAAGATTGAAGGTCAAAGAAGACAAAGACGGCAAAGGATGAGATGGTTAGACAGTGTCATTGATGCAACGAACATGAAGTTGAGCAAACTTCAGAGGATGGCGGAAGACCGGAAGGCCTGGCGTGATCTGGTCCATGGGGTCGCGAAGAGTCGGACTTGACTGTGCGACTGAACAACAACAACAAATATAATCTTACTAAGAAAAAGGCCCGTTGTGGAAATAAATACAACGGCCTCTAGAAAGAGGCTCTGGGCGGGTACGCCGGCCTTGGACACTCAGTGTCAATTTGCTGTGGCGACCTCAGCAAGGTATAATGACACTGAGTCCACCATTTTCTCCAGAGGAACTGATCTCTGCTACCTAAAGAACAGTTGTAATTTTGAGTGATCTCCAGCCCTCACCTGGAGATTGGCAACGATGGTTCCCCAGAAGGGAATAGTTGGTTTGGAGGGTGGAGTCTATGGCTTTGTACCTGTCCGAGGTCCCACACCTCCTGAAACCTCACCCTCTCCAGGCTCCATCCATCCCTCACATCTCCAGGAATTTCACACCTGGAGTTGGCAACCCTATCTCCTTCCCAGCCAATCATCAACCTACCTTTATTTCCCCCTCACTCTTCAGCTTTCC